TTCTCCATTAGCTCCCATTCCCTCAACTCCTCCAGTTCAGCCCTTTCTATAGCTGACAACGGTTCGATCTTTTGCGTGGGGGCAACAGGCAGCAAGTCATTGATCTTGATGGTTTTGTTTGGCACCTTCCAATGGCCAGTCGTCTCGTCGATATAGAGAAAAGCCTTTTTCTCCTGTATGGTGAAGTACGGTTCACGACGAGTAGCCTCGACCAAGTACTCGTAACCAAGAGGCATCGGCTGATTGGTGGGTACATCGCCACCCTTCTTCATCACCATATTGGCTAGGATGCAGCAGCGCAAGACCTGAGAGCGGTCCAAGATGACGTCGTTGCTATTCACAAGGTTCTCAATTGTCAATTGCTGGGGTGTCACCTTCATGGCATCGAAGTCATATGTTGATGATGATCTCTGGAGCCATCGTGTATTTGCGTAGGCTGCAATGAGACAATGAGCACAAATGAGGGGTGTCAGAGTGCTTGGAAGGGAAGTGTGGCGAGATTTCAGGTAAGTCTCGCCATTTATCCTTATCACGCCATCCCAATCTGACTAGATCCATGGTCAGTGAGCCAATGAACATCTCCACGCCCTTATCTATATTCTCTATCTGAGACATGGGTAATTGTGATATGGCCTTGACACCCAAGATGTCCAGATAATCTTGGAGCGCAGCTGTGTAACTCTGAGCATCGCTATAGGGCACCCAGGTCTTATCTCCAGATGCCCATTCAACCTCAAAGATGGCGCCCCGTCCTCTTCCTCTGTGAGAGATTATTCCCTTTACCTTCCATTCATTATCGGTCTCGGCAGTGAGGCCAGTCTGACTGTGAAGTCTCCCGGGGAACAAACGATCATCGTTCGGGACATGAACACGAAGCAAGGACGCATGAAAGACGGGGTGCAGTCCCCGTTGTTTCAATTCGGATGGTAGTTCCACCTGATATGAATTATTTCCGAAGTCCTTCACAATTTTGTAAGATCCTACAAACTTTGGTGCAAGCTTTCGAGCCAGCCCCTTTGGTAAGGTGATATTCTGAGTCGATATATAAACCAGATCATCCTTAGTGAATGGTGCCTCACGACGATGTTTGTTTGCATCTCGTGTCTGTTTCACCCGCGAAGCAAGGACACTATCGTGAGCACTCATTATTGCTGTCTTCACACGTAGAGCAAAATTTTTGACTCCGGGATAGGTCTTGTCAGTTGGAGAATCCCATAGCATAGACCTTGGGGTGCGCCCCGTATTCAGGAAAAATGGTGAGTATCCGGTACTATCTGAGCGAGCCATATTATTGGCGTACTCAATTCCAGGAAGACGTGTGACCCAATCCTTCTGATCGAGTGAAACACAATTCCGAATCATCTGTGTAACTGTACGATTAGCTCGTTCTGTCGACCCATCTGATTGGGGATGATAGGCGCTTGACATCTTCAAGTTCGCATGCAGAAGCTTATGAAGATGCTGCCAGAAATTACTGGTGAATAGTACATCTCGATCTGATAATATTCTTTGGTAAGCCATGATGTTTGTAAATCTCTGCAAACACTAATTCGGCTACTTCAGGTGCACGATAATTTGTTCGGCTTGGAATTAAATGCACCATGCCTGACAGTAAGTCTATTACCATTGTCAGAGCATTGAAAGAACCATCCCGATTCTTTGATTCAGGTAGTGGACCAATGAAATCAATTCCGATTGATTCCCAAGGGTACGACGGAACGTCAAGTGGATTCAGTAATCCATATGGCTTCTGATTTGAAGGTTTGCTTCGTTTGCAGGTTTCGCAGCTCTTGCAGTATTGATGGATGTCTGTATTCATAGTTTTCCACCAAACATGGTCACGTAAGTACACTCGAGTCTTTGCGGCGCCAAGATGTGCTAGCAAGGAATGTCCTTCAGAGATAATAATCTCGCGGAGGCTTCTACCATCAACTGTGACTGACTCAGGGATGCAGAGCAGTTCCCGCTCATTGTCTTTCAAATACAGAAGGCCATCACGCAAGGTATAGTTCCTGTAATTCTTCGGTTCACTCAGGATTTTCTTGAACAGTGTATCCTTGGTATAATTGAGCCGGATAATATCCAATAAGTTAACTCCCATTAACTTATGATTCAGAAAACCCATCAATGAGTTCTCCACAGGGTCAGACCATTCAGAAGGCCGAGTTCTAAGGCCCTCCATGACTTGTTCTATAGTAGGTGCATTTAGAATGCTCTCGCCTACTAGTGTGCTAGGTCCAGGTGTAGGTTGACTTTCAGTAGAATAGATATCTCTATTTTCTACAGCCTTTCTGGATTGAGCTGTCGCAGCTGAGTGCGAAGGGTCAAACAGCAACGTTGCACCAGGCAGTGGCTGTGCATCCACGTGAGCAGTAGAATTGGTTGGATTGAGCGACGGTTGCTTGTTACCCTCGCTCTCCAAGCTGAAGCCACTGTCCTTGGTGACCCAATTTTCATCCGGAGCCTCTGAGGTGTGGGATTCAGCTTCTGTGACTGTTTAGAGGTCACAGAATGAGCTGGCAGCCGAATATACAGTTTATCTGCAGCATCAGCACCTGCAGGCTTTCCCGGCTGATTTGCCTTTGAATTCGTGGATTTTTGATCACCAACTGCTACTGAAGGCTGTGTTACGCACCCTCCAGACCGTGTACGCACTGCACTCGCCTCAAGACCAACAAGGACTGGCATTGTGATCCCATTAGCAGCAAGTTCGGACTGAGGAAAGTCCTCATCATATTGAGTGTATTCCGAAGGAGTGCGCACTGTTCCAGGTGCGTCGCTAGCATACATGCGAGATAATGCATCACTGAGGGTATTCTCAGCTCCTGAAACATACTCAACATCGAAATCAAAATCTGATAGTGTTTCCATCCAGCGAGCCTGTCTTCCCGACAGATTTTTCTGCTGTAACAGGTGAATGAGACCTTTGTGGTCTGTCACCCAAGTGAACTGACATCCTTGTAGTATATCCCGATGTCGTTTCATGGTCTCGAGGCCTGCCAGCATTTCCAGTTCATGGACCGGATAGTTCTGTTGAGCAGGCTGTAACTTTGCAGAGAAAAATGCAGCAACATGTGCTGTTTTCCAGTCATCTCCTTGGCCAACATATCCAGCAATTCCTGAACGGCAAGCATCGGTAACCACCCATCGACGTGGCGAGCCCTTGTCATAATTTAGAGGCACCCGATGATAGTCTTGATGTGCCTGAACCTGTGCCTTGATCTCGTCGAAGGCACGCTGGTGAGTCTCTGTCCATCTATAGGGAACCGTATTCCCTGTTAACTTGTGGAGGACACCCATAGGTATGCGAACGTTACCCACATCATCAGCGAGATAGCCGACTGAGCCCAAAAAGCCACGGAGTCATTCGTGTGTAGTAGGAACCTTCCAGTTGATGACAGAATCAACCTTATCAGGATCCATGCGAATACCACTGTCATCGACAATATGGCCTAGAATGTGCAATTCCGATACCAGAAATTGACATTTATTCTTACTGAGATATAAACGTTCCTTGTTCAGGATATCGAAAATCAGATGGCAATGCCTAACATGGTCCTCAAGGCTATCTGAGTACACAATGATGTCATCAAGGTAGACATCCATGAAGACCCCGATGTAGGCAGAGAACAGGTGATTCATCAATGCCTGGCATGTGGCCGGTGCATTACAATCACCTTGTTGCATGACTAGGCTAATCATATTTCCGTCAGGTGTAGTCACTGCCGAACGTCCAACATGTTCAGGTTTAATCCGAATCTGCTCATAGGCACTCTGCAAGTCCATCAATGAACGGTATCGATGTCCAGCAACTCGACGAAGAACCCCATCAATGGGTGGTAATGGTGCAGCGAGCTTCCGGGTATTCCGATTTCGTTCACGAAGATCAAACACGGTACGTAGCTCTGGTGCACCTTTCGGCCTATGAGGCTTATATATGCACAGCATTGGAACAGTATTACGGGCTGTGGTTACCTTCCAACGTTCTGTTGCAAGATAATCCTTCTTTTTCTGCACCCACTGCTGGCGCAATGCTTCAGGACATCTAGATGAACGCCAGGTATAGACCTGGTTTTCATTTATAATTGGAATCTCATGGTTGATTGCTCGAAACGGAGGTAACGGTGTCTTAGCAGCATCAACAAACAATAGTGCTGCATACTCAAACAATTGCTCTCAGACATGTCCTAGTTGCTCCTCTGCTATATCAACAGCCCGAGCGTCAATTTGAGCAACATTCTCACCACGGATAGGTAGGCTCGTCTCACTTCCAATTATGATATGTTCCTCATTCAAACCAAAGGATACCTTGTGCTGGAACGGAAATGGCGTTCCAAGAATCACATCATAATTTGATAGGTTTACGATATCAAAGTATCGACGTTCCTTGATATTCTGGTACTTGAAATCAGATTGTGTACCATAATTAACCTTTGAGCGTGAGCCCTGAACAGCAAGATGCAACTCAATAGGCTTCGCAAGCTCAGTTCGCTTCAACTTCAGCTGATCTGCTAGCGTTGTGGAGATAAAATCACCCAAAGACCCAGAGTCAAGAAGAGCACGGCTCTTGTGACCATTAATAAGGACCTCTATCACCATGGGCATGGGGACCAGGCGATTAAAATCTCTAGTTGAGCTTGCATTACGTTGTAAGCCAGTCAAAGAAGTAGGTTCAATACCCACATGACCAGAGAATAAACCTCTAGCGCAAGGAGGCTTAATAGCATCCCAAGCTTGTGGCTAGTTGTCAAAGACATGAGAGAGACCACCCCAGTGGGCCTTCCATATAGACCAGGAGTTACTCCTTTGATCCTTCTTTTGAATCTGATGGAGGTACCAATTAAAAAGCCGGAACTTCAGATATGCTAATAGGCGCTTCGGTAGTTGAACCTTGTGCCCATGATGTGTATCATGAATCATTGCGAAGTCTGAGTCAACACTCCAAACATGGAACTGATCATCAACACCAGAGATACATCCAGTTCCAAGGTGATCATTCAGCATCTCCTCAATCAAGTCACAATAATTGTCTGTCACTCGTGATCTAGGAGAGGACCATGGTATGGATAATTTCCGGGCACAATATTCCTTGTACCAGTGGACAATATCTCCCATTTCTGCAACAATTGAGGGTACCAGAACCTCTCCTTCATCATGTGGCCATGAGTCAGAGGTATGAGATTCATCAATCAACACAAAGTGAGACAATGTGCGATAAACTGTAAAATGATCTGATGTCTTATCATCAGACCTTTCTACAGGATCCCCAGGATATGGTCCACAGGCATCTAAGTGCTTCTCATGCCAATCCTCAAGGAAATGGCCAATAGGACATTCAACAATTCCCTGGGCAAACTTCAAGATCCAAGTTTGTGACTTTGATACCTCACTTGGGAGCCCAAAAGGATCTCCATGCTGCAAGATAGAAGGATCTCATGTTTGTACAGGATCCAGTAGATTAAAACCCACTCTATCAATAGACAGTGAGGTTTGATCCTTAGTCTTTGAAGCAGCACTAGTAGCCTGATTCACCTCTCTAAAGTTAAATCAGATGCTAGAGGAGGCAAGGCCAGGAGGGCAGAAGTGACCATGCCATTTCAAGGACAATTGCATTCTAAATGGCCCTTCTCATGATATTTAAAGCAATGACCCTCAGCCATTAGCTCATTCTTTGTTGGCCCAGATGAGCTCTGTCCACTAGAGGATGGCTTCAGTAGCCTTGGCTGATTATTTAGCTGGCTGTTCTTGAATCATGGTGGTCCACTATGATTACTTGGCTCAAATTGGTGTGGTTTCCTTGCTGGTTGACCACAAATAACATAAGCCTCATCTGTAGGAGTCATCTGTATAAGCTGAGGTGAATAATCCTGATGATTATGAGGAATATCATTATACTTATTGTCTTTGGTAGTCTGATTGGTACAGTGAGAGTCTGCTCTATGGTTATGCAGAACAGTGGCACACATAGCTGAATGCCTATGATTCAAGGTTGCCTCAGCTAGCTCAGCCTCATGAGCAATGATAGTCTAAGAGTGAACTGCCTGAGAGAAACTCTTCCAAGACAGGATATCAGTGATGTCAAGGTTAAGGCCCTTCCACAGTTTAACAACCTTGGCATGGTCTGATTCATCACCCAGGACATTGTACAGGTTTTCCAGTTCATGGGTGAATACCTTCACTCACCATCCACCTTGACAGCAGTTCTCAATCTCCTTCCGACTCTTTTTACAGAAATCAATAGGAAAGCAATAGTCAAACATCTCTCAGAAGAAGGTGCCTAATATCCACTTCTCATAATTTCCACTGACAACTACATCATAGAAGTCATGGGCTGTACCATCAAGAAAATGAGATATATTGTACACATCTCAGACTGGATCATCATCAAGAACCTCAAGGTATAATTCACAATCTTGCATGAATCTATTAACCTTCTTGATGTCCTCTGATTCTGAATAGACCTTGGGATCAATGGGCCTGCATAAATGAACATCTTTTGATTTGCCTTTATGCTTATGATGTAAATGAGATTTATGTTTGCAATGCTTCTTCTTCTTCTTTCTATTAGAAGTAGATGAGCTCTCATTGTCCAAAGGGGAACCACTATCAGAGGAGAAGAAGGATGAAGACTCAGATGGTGATGGTGATAGCACTGCCTGTCCCCTTCTTCTTTCATCATTGTTGCCTCAATGAAGAGTTCATCCCAGAAAACTATTAGGAGGCACCTGACTTGAAGCATGCCATAATTCATTCATGGGGGTAGTCAATGATTGATGAGGCTGTTCAAAGTCAGCCAGTACACCCATTGGAGTGCTATAAACATTACCTGAGGTTGTGCTAGCTGATGGTAATGTCATAGACTTAGATTTGCTCTTCTTATTACTTGTAGAGGCAATTCTCTGTGAACCAACTAAACTATGTTCAGATGGAATAGATCCAATTCACTCAGCATCTGCATACTTCTCTGGTATTGGATCATCATAATCAATGATATCCTCAATCCTAACAGTACAACTGCGCTTAGGCTTTTCATTATGTTTCTCTGGCTTGTAAGGGATAGAAGTAGTGAAGCTCTCCTCATTATCCTTATTAGATTTAGACCAAAGTTTAGAAGCCACAATGCCTTCATATATTGCCCTTTGAACAGCAGAGTCCTCATTCTGAATAGACTGCCAGTGTTCCAAAACTTGATGCTGATTATCAGAGTCAAGTTCTTCTTCATTGAAGCCAGATATATCATGACCATGAAATTCAACAGTCTTCTCCTTGGCAAAGGTCAATAGACCAGAGGGACTGCTCTCTGGCTCATATTCAGGTTTATGTTTCACTGGCAGAGCTCAGACAGGTATGAGGGAAGGTTAGTGATGATATTCCTTCATACAAGCCTTACACTATTTAAGAGTGGCATGTTCAGATTCTTCAACTGGTATTCAGCTTCTTCAAATGTATGCAATTGTTCATCAGTCCAATTGAGTTCAGCAAATTCACCATTATTGGCTTCATTATATTCAGTACTAGTAATACTAGTTTCATCTACATGTAAAGTATGTCTACCCTCATGTTCAAGACCATGTGCCATGTTCTGACCCTCAGATCAGTCATCGGACAGGCCATCTTTGGGATTGCCATCTGGTCATTCTCTTGGCATCGAGTCATAACTTGTATCATATGCTTGACCAGCTTGGCCATCATGTTCAGCTGTATAGAGAGAACTCCATAGCATCTTCATACTCCAATGAAGCAGAAGTACATTCACCACTTCCACAAAGATGAGAGGGTATCAGCATAACTCCAGTGTCACTGGCAGCATGATGTTATGACAGAGCAGTGCGAATACTCAGGCTCACAGAGCAATCCTCAAGCATAGCCAGGTTTCTTCTGGAAGAGTCAATATCCCTAGAGCTAGTCAAAGAGGACTCATCATGTTCAGTCTGCTGCACTTAAGTAGCAACATTAGGGGCTAGAGGCACTGGGGTCGTCAAGGGACTCTGGCTATGTAGCAGATAACAAGATATTAATGTCTAATAGTTCAAGAGAGAAAAGAAGAAAGCAGAAGGTTGAGTGCAGAAAGAGGTAGTAAATGAAGCAGAGTCTGTAGGGTGATGGGGCGAAGCCAAGAGAGAACTGGGTGATCAGTCTAGCACTTTTCTGAGGTTAGGCCCATCAATTCAGGAGTTGATTAAGTGAGGTTTCTTGTTCTACAGGTCAAAAATATATGACGTTAGCAATGATAGTCAGTAGCAGCACACAAGGACAAATTAAGGATCAGGTTGAAGACATCTCAATTCAGAGGGGAAAGATAAGAAAGACTCATGTAATTCTAGACATGACTAAGTATTTATATGTAGATAAGAGTAGAGTGCATGAATAAGCATAGTTCAAATAAAGTCTAGGTTTATATTACAAAAAAGGAAGTAGAATGGGCCCGTCTGTTATACAGTCTCTCTGAGTCGATCAGAACCACTGGATATTAGGTAGTGCACAGAAAAATCAGTGAGGCACTTCCCAAAGCTCACTGTCAGTAATATCTATCTCTGTATAATACTAACAGTTGAGATCTAGCTGTGGATTTTTTCATCTGGATACTAGAAGAAGGAAATATTGTTTTACATATGATGGGCACATCAAGAAGATACCTAGAAGTTGGCTTGAGCAACATATCGATCTGAATAGTTGCCATCAGCTTTGATTTGAACTACTGGGAATGAGCAAATGAAATCAGCAGTGAAATGCGAGTATTAGATAGACAAATATCACATTAATAATCACCACAGATAATGACATATATATGTACCTCAGCATCCACAAGATGCTCACAGTATGCAATACTATCACAGTTTGAGTGATGTGTGCATCACACACTATCAATAAATGAAAATGATAGAAATGATCAAGCATTCACATATGACATAACTTACAAGATGTTAATGGGGCCTGAGTCAGACTCTCAGTTCAGATACTTGAAAACTAAGAGAGTACCAATGCAAGTTCAGCTCAGATGCAGAAGACATCTAATGAAAGACATTTAAGTCTCATGCCGATAGTTCTGTCAAGAAACACGAGAAACAGAGATGCCATTATTGATTTGGTAAAAGCTGAGCATTGACCTCACTACTGATGAGCTTAAGCTTAGCCAATGATAGAAATACCCTGAGAGAGTGGTGAAAGTCACTTCTCTCATGAAAGGCTCACACAGTTGCTGACAGGCTTATAGGCTTGGTCGATTGCGAAAACCTCTAGCTACAATATGTGTACTGGCTTATATATATATATAGCAAAAATAACAAATATAGGCTAAACCAGGAGATGGAGGAAGCAGGGAAAAATGTCAGGTAAAAGTATCAGGCCATGGAACGATTTGTAACATATGCTTTCCTGGCCAACAAAGTTGGACAATATGGTAGTATGGTATGTATCCTCCAAGATTAATTTTCTCTATTCTGCATAGCAGCATCTCTTTCCTCGCTGTTCACCTCGACATCAACATCACCCTCTATATCGTCTTCTCTATCGCCAATGTTAAATGCACCTTGAATAAACTCCAATGGACAGTCAGAGCCTGAGTCCAAGTTCAAGAGGAAATCCAGCAACTCATCACAATTCTCTCAGAGGATTCCCACCCATTTGTCTTTTCATCTCTGGATGGCTCTCTCCTTGGCCCTTTCCTGTCTGAGAAAGAGAGTATGACTGAAGTACTGATTATTGTTATACTCGCATTCTGGAATAATGATATATCCGAGGATTTAGATGGTTCTGGGATTGAAGAGGATAGGCATGTCAACCTTGAGATTGTGAGTGGTGGGGGTGGAATCGTCAAGGTGAGTGAGATGGTATTCACCTGAGGAGTTGTCTCACTCAGCAAACTTATCCTCAGCATCACCTGCATTGTATGAAGCTGTGATGATAGAGTACCCAATAGGCTCATGATGAATCTGGCAACAAGATCGAATGCCTCCAGCTCTGTGGATGTGTTGAAGGTGATTGTTATGCTCAATGCACTGGAGCATCAGGATAGCAGGAATGTCAGCAATAAGGTCTCTAAGTGAATTGGAGCCAGGAGCCTCTTGGACACTGAACCTCTCAATGCCCTTGCGGTGAATGAACCAGGCCAGAGATTTGGAAGGGGCTTTAGACAGAAGAAGGGGATGATTATACATATGGCTCTTATGCTTTTTGTGAGATCGATCAGTGAGCATATCAAGAGAAAACAGGGTAGAGTTGAGGGTGGCAAATAGAGAGAATGAAGTTGGGGAATTTGCATGAGGCTCTCATTTATGTATCCTCACGCTAGAGCTTAATTCAAATGATATAAACCCTACAGATATCCTATCCTGTTCCAGATCCTCTGAAGGTACTCTACAACTCGTTAGAAGCTGACCGATAGATGTACATCCCAACAATTCGAGATAGTCTGATAGGCACCTGAGACCCGAAATTTGATCATAGAGCAGCTAAGTGATATCTCCTGTTGTCTATTTAATCTCAAATATAGCTTGCTCTTTTGCATTGTGATGTGATACAATGCAGTCTATCTTCCATTATGGTTCAGCTTCTGGAGTCTCATATATCTGGATATCGAGACACCCAGGGAATTGACAATCATCGTTTGGAACATGAACTCAAAGCAATAAAGAGTGAAAGACTGGATGAACTCTCTGCTGGATGAAGCTTGAGGGAAGCTCCACCTAAAATGAGTGATTTTCAAAATCTTTTGTGATCCTGTATGGGCTGATATACTTTGAGATTAATTTTCTAGCTAGGCTCTTCGCAAACTTCAAGTTTTGTGTTGAGACATAAACTAAGTCCCCTTCATGAAAGAGTTCAACCCATCATTTTTGATTAGCAAGCCTAGTTTGCTTCATCCAAGCCTCTAAGATTGCATCATAGACAGACATAATTGCTAACCGGCGAAGTCATGCAAAGGTTCTAACTAAGAGATATTTATTTTTTATATTAGAATTTGTTAAGCCCAAATTCCATATGACTAGAAACACATGATAAACTGACAGAACCTCACACTTTGGGTTATACTGTCAGGGTTCACTTATGTGTGACTAGCATTGTGTTGTCAAGGTGTTGCAGTTCACTCGAGATAAAATGGTGAAGTAAAACTTTAGTTCGAGACTGGGGTATTACAGTGAGAACTAAGCTACTTAAATACTGTTCTGTTATCTCGTTATAAATAGATGTTTCACAAAAGATATTGTCTGTCATAGAGCTGTTACCTCTGCTGTTGCCAGGCTCTCCACAAAAGCTGTTGTCTTGCTGTTATGCTGTGGTCATTGCACTGCTGGCTGAAGACAAAAAGGGTACTGTCTCTCTCTTCACAGCACACAGCATTGTGATAGGAGAGTGATCAACTTGGGTGCTGAGCTAAGCATTCCCACAGTCTTAAGCACTGGCTTAAGCACCCTGACTAAGCAGAGATAGGGGTCATTTTCGAGGAAAAAGAAAAGAAAATAGGAAAAATCATAACAGAATTCTAGATCATAGACTATAGCATGCATCTTGTATTAAGCATAAATAGAGTATATTCGGTAGTTTCTGATCGAGCACAATTAATAGCAAACTCAATAGCTGGTAACTTAGATACCCAGTCCTTCTGTATGGTATCAATGTACTGTCATAGCATCTGAGTGATAGTGCGATTAGCATGTTCTGTAGAACCATCGCTCTGAGGATGGTATGCACTGGATATATTGAGCTAAGTTCTTGTTAGCTCATGAAGCTGTTTCCAGAAGATGCTTATAAAAAGAGAGTCTCAATCACTTATTATCCATCATAGCATTTCATGGAGTTTGTAAATATACTCAAACATTAGTTCAGCTACTTGATGAGTTGAATATGTCATACAGCATAGAACTAAATGTACCATAGAGATAAACAAGTCAATTATGACTGTTATTGAGTCAAAAGTACCATCCTGATTCTTTGAGTCTGATAATAGTCCAACAAAGTCCACACCAATTGCCTC